AAATTACTTTTGTCAGAGAACTCTCATCAACCTGAAATACTGTGGATCTGGTAAATATTTTTTCCAGATCTCTTCTGTTTCCAAAAATGATATTTATGTATTCTCTGAAAATTTTCTGCAGAGAATTAGTATACAAAGAAACTACTGAAGACAACAATGGGGAAATGTCTTGAGAGGAGAAAACACAAGTCCTTTTTTACATGTTTTTAGTGACACTAAAGTTACAGAATGGCCACACACTCTTCATTCTGGATCATACTGCCTTGACAGTTCTCACTCCTCTTTGCTCAGTTCATACATAATATCAAAGAACATATTTAACAAACAGAAGAGATTTATTTATTGGGTGACAGTTCTACTGTAAAAAGTATGCTCTAGTTCCTATTATTTTAATCACAAAATTTACATTGTAAGGGGAAAAAAATACCTATCTTTCTCTGGTATATGTTTGCAAATTTATATTGTTATAGATGGTATGAAACATCTTAAAAAATGACTGACAGCTAGTTATTTATATCTGGATGCTCCTCATAAATTTTTAAAATGCTGTCAGAGAGCCTCAAGTGTTTAGAAAGTAAAGTCTGATTTTCAGGAATTGAAAACCTAGACCTCCTTTCCATAAGACAAGATATGCACTGCCATATCTGTGTTGCAAATAATTGTTGGAAGATTTTGAGATTCCAAAGTGACCTAGTTCTGTTCAGCTATCATTCACTGGCTTTGAAAATAGCCTCTTTAAACTTCTGCATCTGAATACATTTGTACCGCTACCCCCCAAAAAAAGTTTTTCATTCTTTTTTGTAGAACAGTAACCACAAGGCATTAATTTAAAAGAACTCAAGGTGACTCCCATGTCTTCTCTTTCTGCATTGTTTTCCCACTACCAAAAACTAGCTTTACACCTGGCTGCTATTATCTGAAGGTAGTCAAAGAATGTGGTAAATATTATCCACATGTAATTTATTAAAAGCTGAGTCAAAGAACAGGTGTTGCTATTGTAAAGATTAATTTTGCAGCTCTTCTGCTAAGACTCATAAATTATGAACTCCTGGGCCCCTCAACACTAAATCACAAGCACAACATCTATACAGATTTATTAACTTGAGGGTGAAAAATGATGCAGAATTTTGCCAGCTGCTCAGACTACAAGCACTGGCATCAGCAAGTACGCCAAATCCCTCCCTGACTCCTCACTTTACAACTGGGAATTTGCAGCTTCTCTTTGCCAGCAGTGATGGTTCTGCATCACTGTTTCCCCATGACCTAGCATATCATCTCTCTTGGGCATTATAACATTGTTATTTTTAATAACATTGATTACAATTAGATATCAGCTATAGGAATTATTGCTTCGATAAACATTTTTTTTTCTACTTTTCTACTCTAGGAATGTTATTAGAAAGGCTGACATACTAGAAATAATGCAGTATTTGACAATACAGTCTAACAAATAGTCTCAAAAGAATATGTGACAGCTGCAGATCCCTCTTCACTAGAGAAAACATAGTTCACAATTACCTTTTCTCCCCTTTCTCTAGCTTTGCTACCATCAGATCCAGGAAAAATAACTATTATTACTCAGGCAAGTATAATCTCTTTGATCCCGAAGTAGGACTGATATTTCCACCTAAAATCTACTACTTTCTCACAATAGGCAGTGACAACAATCTACCAGAATTCCTGGAAACTTATAGCACAGGATCTCGGATGCCATGAAATGCCCCCACCACAATTCAGGCACTGCAGCTAAGAAAAGACACTGCATCTGACATGTCCCAAAGCATCAGTTTCTCATGATCACATACTCAGCACCAGTCTGTGTGAAGCCAGTCCTACGTATGTTGGTGGGACTGTAAACTCATTGGAGAAAAACACAGAAAAAATTTCATGTCCATGGATTGGGTAGGAACCAGGCTCTCTCTTTGGCTATTTATGATGGATTTCAGCCCTAAGGTAAGTGAAAGGCTCAGATATAAATAAAACTACTGTTACCAACTTTGGACTAAAATCAACTGAATACACAGAACTTCCATTTTACACTATTCTTATTAAAAAACTAGCTCACACTCTTCAGTATCTCGGCATGTAAATTGAAATTTCATAGTCAAACCTCAGGCTTTTTATGGATTTGTGAAACTCGTATATAATTTTTTTTTAAAGTGGCATCATTAAGAAATATATCCTGTTTATCTCATAGAATTATCATTAACCATGAATTCATTCCCACACACAGCTATTCCATTCCATGAAGAGATTGGCTTTTTCATATTTTTAACTCTGCATGTTTAAGGAAATTTTAGTCACATGTATTAAGATTTCTAAACACGCTGATTAAATTGCCTGTTCTTTTTAAGTATATCACCTTAATTATCTATGAAATAGTTTGCCTATTTACCCTTTCAGATCAGAAAACTATTGCAAAATGTGAAACATTTAATATTTTCAACAAGACTATTTACAGGTACCTTGTAGCCAGATACAACACGCTGTACTTTGAAAGTACTGTGATTTATAGCATGCTACTTGTAGTTACCTGTTCTGTCATTTAGATTATGATCCTGCTGACCTTTACATTCATGATTAGACAACTGCTTCAAAGAGTGTAGGAAATTAAGGATTACTGGTGCAATTGAGAACTTTTTTCATACAGAAGAATTCAAAAGAATGCAGGCAAAATAGAGTTAATGAGGATGAAGGCCCTATTTTTTAGAGCTACCGGGCTTGTGTATGCATGTGCAGTTTGGGTTTTCTTTTTTCTTTGCTTTCTCCTGGTCAATACAGATTTACTGAACAGAACACCTATTTCAACTTCATGCTACTTCCCTGGAACAACTACTTTAACACTCCAGAACAAATCACTTCACTTAGCTAGGTAAGCTGTGGTCCCTGATCATTTTGTCAATGCTCAGTGTCTGTAGGAAAGCTTATGGAAAACAACCCTATAAAGTTCAGCCCTGAAACAAATGAGTCATTGCTCCTTATGAGAAAAGTTCCTCTGAGCAGGCACGACTTCATTGCAAGATACAAAAAAGCTCAAAGTTTTTTGAAATATAATCATCTCCTAACAAGTATACTTACGTTTGTCTTGGTCAGCTTCCACTCCTTCACTTTCTGTATCACTCGGCAACATCCAAGGCTGATGAGCAAGCTGAAGCTGTTGCAAGAATTCATCCTGCCATAAACAGATCTATTTTAGATAAAATGGCATAGAGTGGTACTGTGCAAATGCAGATTGTAGTACTTCAGTTTGAATTAACTGGATAGGAAAAAGCCTTCAATTAAAACTAAACTAAACTAAACTAATATTTATATATATACATATTCTTGTTGTGAAGTAAACTCAGAATGTAGAGGCTATTCAGGCTCACCACATTACTTTTTGTAATGGAATTCTTGTCCATTTATTTCAGGGAAAAAAGAATTCTGCTATAGCCAGAGATACATACATACTGATCTTAGAAATGCAGTGACACAAAACAAAATATTAACAAGGATATTCTGTTTATTCTTGCACCATTCTTAGACCATGCCTAGGTACATTGTGAATGATTTGCTTAAGCAAGGCTTTGATTTGTCAGAACTTTCACTGTCTTCAATCCTTTAAGAACAAGGATCTGCAACCTGATTTAGAACATATGGCTTTATTGGAGAAGTAGAAAGCCTAGGAAGAAATAATGCTATGGAAAATTTTGTGTCCCAGATACCATAAAGCTCTAAGCATCAAAATACAAATGTTATACACAGTTAAGAATCTGTACCTGCCTTTAAAATGTTTTGCCATCACCTCTTCTTTACAAAATATATGTATGTATATAAAAATATTTTTCCATGTGTATATATTCATGTAAGCATGTACACTCACATGAAGTACGACAGATTCTTTTGCAATACTGAAGGTAAGAGATGAGACCGAAAAGCATAGTTTCATTTCAACAGTGGTTCAGACATGCAAGTCGAGTCTCTGAAAGTTAACTCAAGGAGTGGCCAGATAGCATAAAATTACTGGCCAGATTCTTACAGTCACCTAAAAGAAAAGGAAGCTACAAGCCGTCTCATTTTCTACCACTTGAAAACCAGAATATTTCAAGTTAAGTTACATTGTGCAGCACCATAGCATTATTTTTATTGCTTAGCCATCTGGTTTAAAAATATAAACTAGGTTTGTTTTACTCAGTTCTTGGAAACCAGTCTCTCAGTTGGTGGAATAAAACTGTTAATTCTCTTAGTAATCTGTTAAAAAATCCCCAAAGACTGCTGCAATGACTGAAATGGAAGCTCAGGCAGCAGACCCAGCCTTATGCATGTATTTAACTTTATAACTTTTTCACAATCTGAGAAGGTTGCAGACTGCAGCACTGAAATGGGAAAAAGCTTTGGTTCACAGGGCAGGATTATTGCAGCAGTAGCAAGTGGCTGTCACACTGGTCAGCATGCTTTTTAATCTTCCAAAACTACAGAGTGAAAAAGGGGGACAGGCAGCAGAAGAGAATGGAAGTACCAAGAAGAGTCCTCATGATATTGAGTGGTGCTCTGCACTGCTGTGATTAGGAAGAGGCCTTGTGTTAACTAACGCTGTATTCATATCAGCTGAAATCTCCCAGTATTAACAATGATGGACCAATAAATATCACTGAACAGCACTTCAAGGTGCCTGGATGAATAAAATGACTAAAATTACAAGTGCTGAGAAAATGTAATGGCAAACAAGGGAGTCACTAGTATTTTCATCTCAACGGCTATATTGATAACTATCACAGCATTGTGTCACTTTAATGGAATCCATCCTGAAGAGATAAGCAGTATTCAGCATTCCTTTGTCAATTTATACAAAACACCAAAGGATACAGTCAGTGCATAAAAATATCTCTGCAAAAGGATTTGGAGCTGTGATTTATTAGTTTTATAGAGATAATAAAACTATTTCTCTAGGTAGCATTTCTTTGCCATAATTCAATTCAGCCTGAACAGAGCTGATAATAAAACACACCTGTTAAAACTTTGTAGTACTATGTGTGCCAAGAGGCAGAAACTTGTCCACAAAATCTCAGATCATTATAAGTTTTGAGCATTAAAATAAAATTCTTAACAGCTGATATGTTAAGTATTCGCCAGATTATTTAAGATGTGTGCTATAACAAGATTAAACCAGCATGGACTTTACTAAAACTTACTAAGAACTCTGAATTGTACTCTGAATATTTTTGTATTTTAGACTTATTGTACTCTGAAACATATTACAAACTAGGAAGCATGTATAATGTATTTAGTGATATGTTAAATGTCCTCATAAATGGCATAGTGACAGCGTAAATTCATGCACACGCTGTATTCTTTAATTCAAGCTCCAAATGATAAAATGTGCTGATGGTACTCAGTAGCTGCTTCCTTTTGAACTGAGTTATTCTCATTGCATATGTACCAGCTATGTACTGATTAATTCCATTAACACCACATAAGAGCAAGGAAGCAGAATTCTTTGCAAAATATTATCCGAGTATCTCATATAGGGCTGGCAACGTAACCACAATGCATTCACATCTAATGGAAATTCCCTGCTCACACCATTAAGTCTAAGAAGAATAAAGGCAACTTCCCTTATTTTATTTTACTGTTTTTTATACAGGAAGAAGATACAAAACCTATAATGAAATTTGCAAAATAATATACAGTATCAGCTTTTAGTTTTATACATTTGTAATCTGCACAAGTACAAAGAACTTCATTGTTCATATTCCTCAGGCTACCTTAGATTTTCCAAAATTTGACTCTATGCTCAAAGAGAAATCACATGGGCAGAAATAGACACCTCTCACATAGCAAAAGATATTATCGAACAGCAATACTTTCTGGGGATGTTCTGTCCTCATTCTCTTGTGTTTTTCTAAGCTACCAGGACCTGGAATGAGCAAAGATGGCTTAAAAGAGCTCCCAAAGTTTCCAGCAGAACCCCCCAGCCATGAGGCTGGCAGCTACAGGTTGGCCAGATCTCCATCAACCAATTTTTGAGACCTGAGCATGAACATGCCATACCAGCCATTTTCCCCTTGGAATCAGAGCTAGTCCCCAGGGGAGCTCTGATGAAGTCAAAGGTCACTTGCACGTGTCAGGAAGGGACAAACATGTTTTGGATCTGGGTCATCAGTAGCCAACATGCTATTCTGTCCAGTAAGCAAAGAGAAAGAAAAGTTTGTCACTTCTAGCAGGGATCACAACAGTGGATAAGATCTTGCACAGGAATGCTGACATCTGATATCAGCTTTACAGTGGTCTTGCTGGATGAGACTGGACATGTTATTCCATCTGTAAAACGGGGTAACAGTACTGTACTTTTCTTAAAGTACCTTATACACACGCACGCATCAAAAACAGATAACGAGACATTATTACTAGAAGATGTATCAGTAAAGTTTGGGATTTGGCAAACAGAAATAACAAATCACAGCAAATAGAAATAGATTTTCAAGATTATCATTACCGTTACCAGCAAATACTGTGGAAGTAAGAATTTTTAACTGACTGCCTTATTAGAGGAAAGATCAGAAGGGATCTGAGAGTTGCTGTCCCTCGGCAGAGATGCAGTGCTCATTACATGGCACTTCCAGGATCCATTACAACAACAGAAGTTAACATTACCTGACTATGTATCAGTGAAGACAGAAAAGATAAAAATAAAATAAAATTGAAGTTTTTTAATGGGAAACAAGGAGACCTTTCATTTCTTCTGAACATTCTTAGTTACAAAATGAACTTCAATTCTCATTTTTTGGTGAGAAAATGTCATCATACAAACACATTCATCCCTCCAAACAGGGGACAAAAAAAAAAAAGTTACAATCACAGATTTTTTTCATGGAAAATGTCTAACTTGAAAATCTATCAACTTTAGCCTCTTTAATCCTTGTATTTTTAAGTTGGATTTCCAATTCTGGGTGGAGAACTAGCTCAAGCAATGGGATTAATGCACTGGTATTTTTTTCCACCACTGAACATACAGATTCTTCTCATCAGACTGGCATTTCCTGAGAAAAACTCATCTTAGTGAGGCGTGCATCTGAGATAGACAGCAGGGCTATTCTTTCACAGATTCTTTTATTTCCACTGCCTACACACTAAAGTTATCTTTAAGGCAGCTAAGGTTTGCAGAGGAGAATCCCACTCAGAATTACAAGATACTTTAACTTCTCTTTTCATACAAAGACTAATCCTGTAAAAGCCATTAATATAAGACAGGAAGTTCTTATGCTCTGAATAAGTCTAGCTAACATGCACAATAGTACTAGACAGTTGTTCAGCAATATTGGACATTTTCCCACTACAGTTCAGCTTTTTATTTCAGAAAATACGTCCATTCAGCAATGACTAGCTAACCATTCCAGTGCATAAAAAAAAAGAACAATTAGACCAAGGAAATATTATGCACTGTCAGTGCAGCAGGAAAAATACCCTGGAATCATAAAGATAAGATATAGTTGTATTTAATAGTCCAGAAATATGCAACTCAGAAACTGTAAGGCTAATAAATCTGCAGTGCATTATGCAGGCAAAACCCTACCAATCTCTGAAAATTTTGGGGCATGAGTGTTTCATTACAATTTCCACAATAATCCTGAAATTTTCTCATCAATACGTCTCAAAGTTGAGCAGTATTTCCTGCAACTTTTCTCAGTATTATGTTTCAAGTTCTTTTCAAAACATTAACATTAGGTATATTGACACCACTTCAATGTAAAACACGATCTTGTCTTCATGTTATAGTAGCTCTTAACCATACTCAAAACATCATTATTAAATTGAAAATCTTACTTCTGACAAACTGCTTCTTTGAGCAGTGACAGTGACAACATCTCCACTCATTTGCACAGAGAGCCCTGAAGCAGCACTGAGGGTCCTCCCCATTTGGCTCTTTGACGTCAAAGATCTACTTCTATGCAAACTGATGATGCTTTCCTTATTTCCTTGACTGCTAGGAGTAAGCGGCCGTGACAGCAAGCTGTTTGGGGTCACAGGTCTGCTCCCTGGCGTTGATGGAGTCGATGGCCTGTTGGTTTGCACGCCAGCTGTCGGAGGCCTGCTGTTTGTAACACTTGAGGCCTGTGCTCGGCTGTTAGTGGGCAGCGGTGGAGATTTGTTTCCTTGGAGCTGAATGTTTTTCCCCATTTGTGTTGGCCTTGGATTTTGGCCCTGTGTAGCCTGAAGATTGCCTTGAGGATCAGATGTACCTAAACTGTGATGCTGGATGCTAGGGCTTCTTGAGAGCCTTGCTTCTTCCCATAGCGCTAGGTCCTTTTCAATATCTGAGCACACAAACACATAAACAAACAAAAACCTCATTTTCAGTTCTTTCAGGTTTAAACTTCTTATTGATTTTCCTCACCATACGTGACATCTTGTAGTTCTGCAGAGAAAATCTATTCATCCTTAAAATACAAGGCACCAGAATTAATGGTTTGACAATTATGTCCTTAGAATCTATTCACAGTTGATTTACTGCAAGCACATCTATCCCACAGAAATGCATTATTACCATTGAACTGAACCATCTAGCTATGAATTTCACTACAACCTATGAAAACCTCTCTCATTTAATCAAACTTCTCTCTGTGGCTTTTGCACAGTTTCTCATTAGCAACAAGCTAAGATGAGGCTGTGAACCTGTAAACCCACAATCCTCATCAGCACTGATGTGCAATCCAAAACTGGAGTGAGACAAGACTTAATGTTTCTGATCTCCCTGTCTATTGCCCAAACTGAACTCTGGGCCAACAACTCCTGACCTCTGGCACATCTCGGTCTGTAATGCTGCCTGGATCTGAATTTTGTGCTCTGGTTTGTCTTCAGTGCTACAGCAGTTGAAGGGGTCACCAAGGTCTAGAATTTAAGGAAGAAAGGTGGTCACTATTTGGTGTTCCAGTTTCTACTCCCTTCAGGGCTGCATGAAATAAGATCCTGTTTAAAAACAGAACAGTTTAGCGGTAGTGAGGAAAACTGTCTTCTGAATTCATTTAATTCATATTAATGATTCCGATGAATTAAACCAGATATATTCAGCCAAGTTAGATGAGGGTTCCTGGAATTCAGGTTAGCACAGCTACTATACTGAAAGGTCCTTGAAAGTAAAAATGTGAAGAAGCTTGACAGGCAATTCAAGTTCATTTCATCTCACACAACTGTTCTGAATTTTTACTCTCACTGACATTTACTCTACTGTAATTTGGTTTCGATAAGTAATGCTATTTTCCATTAAATTCTACAAACCAGAAGCCGTAAATCAGCAAGGTTCTACTGACTTAATCATGTACTAAGTGAACTTATATAAAATGAGCATTTTCATTTTTGTTTTTCTAGTAATAACTTCAGGTCCTTAAAGTTCTGAAATAAAAACACTCTAAATTGCTTATTTAAAAAATCAGATTTTCTTGTAGTTCTAGTTACTGGTAGGTATAAAAACAATGCTTTATGTAAAACAATTAAAGATGTGCCATCTTTAACATTAATATCTTTTAAAATTACACTTCGAAAACAGGAAAATAAGGTTTATGTTACTACTCTAATACAAGACATTTCTCACATTTCAAATATTGTTATTAAAAAAAAAGTTGTCAAAAATGAGTCTTTCAACTCTTTAAAGATGCTAGCAAATTTTAAATGTGGTTATTCTTCCCAGCACACAATACAGAATATTTCTAATTGCCATCTTAATCTCACAATAATCTTACTAAAAATTAACCTCTTAAAATTATTTCCATTTTGAAATACTTATTTCTTGAAGTACTCTTCCATTATGCTTTTAAAAAAACCCAATACATATCAGTTTGAAATTTGTAAGATGCCTGGCTGAAATCCAGAGGCCAATAAATGACAACATGGGTTATGTGATTTGAACCAAATAAGGAATACTCTCCTTTAGAGACTCAATTTAGTTTGTGTCTTTGCAGAATTCCAGATCTCTGACTTCCCCATGTTGATTCAATATGCTAAGAAATTATTTGAAGCTTTTAAGGATTTAATAACAGCTAACTAAACATTATATTCTGGCTCACGTTTTCTTCATTTCATATAGTAGACAAGATTGAGTATTTAACATACGTTCTCTTTATTTATTTATTTTTTTACTTCAACATCAGCTTTTTAATCAGAAGGGAAAGAAAAATATCACAAATCTCCAGCCTTATGGTATTATCTGATACTCAGTAAATACCAGAATTCAATTATGGAAGGACTTTTTAAAATCCCTTGTCAATGTCATTTAAGGAAATAAAAATGTAAGCATCAGAAAAACACAAAAGCATTTTACTTCCTTATTAGAAATGACAGAATATCATTCATAATGCAACCACAAACTGTTTATGCACCTAGAAATTCTACTTGTGATAAATCATATTCCAGAAGTATGCACTGACCACAGTATAACAAACTAAATGGGCAAGTCACTGGAATTAACTACCCCCCAAAAATTAAATAAATAAAAAAATTTCCATTTGTGTATGATATAAAGCAGCCATAGTAACGTAAGAGACTGGATTTTTGACAAAAGTATCGCTGGACCACATGTAAGGAAGGAAAGGAAAACTGCTTCAAAATCTTTTTTTGTAAAAATGCTGTTTTCAAATAACAAGGCACTGAAGAACTTGCTGACACTTGGTGCTAATCATAGGCATCCATTTGTGCCAGTGTTAAAAGTGAGTTTTCTACAGCATGTAGTCCATAACAGAAAGGCAGGACTACGTCTTATCATTACATGAGCCCAAGTCTCAGAAAACGTCTAAATGACTGCATAGAACAGGATAGGATTAATAGATTCCACTGTTCTCAGTGAAAGAAAGAAAATGACTTGCTGATATCACTTTTTTTTTTTTTTTTTTTCCCCAAATCTATCAGAAAAATAAGGCTAAGCAAAATACTGCTTTATTATCTGAGATCCTCTAAGCTGATTCCTCATGGAAGTTACGTTATGCTTGTCAGAGGAATAATTGTCTCAAGCAGCACTGGTATAAGAGGAAGTTAATCGGTTAATGAATTAACAGGAATAGGAGTGTCCAATGTCTAATAACAGACCCATACTCTTATGAATTTCTAAGCCAAACAAATATCTCTGGATGGTAAAATGCCTGAACCCCCCATCCAGTGCTACTGAAGTAACAGGCCCAAAGCCAAATCACAACAGCATTGATGTGAGAAGACCTTGCACATCATACCACAGCAGACAATGTCAGAGAATAAAAGAATTCATATAGTTAACCAATTAAGTATTTAAAATTCTATCTTCCATTCAACATGGTAGTTATTATTGTCAACTTTGTCTATAGACATAAGGATCTGCATGTTTCAGAGTACACTGCTTACAAGGGCAACTTGTACAGCCATGGAAATACTACTAATTCAGAAGTAAATCAAAGTATTGAGAACTTGACCAGATCCCTTGTAAGTGACACCTGCCACAACATACAGGGACCATTTTTAGTTCTTCCTCTACTCTAAGCAAAAGCTTTTTCTGTTCCTCACTGTGCTCACAGCCATGTCTTCTACTTGACTTCAGCTACAACAGTTCCTAGACAGAAGTAAAACAGCTGAATCTCTCTTTCTAAAGAGGATACAGCTCCCAAGCCTTCCAGGCCAACTTCATAGGTAAGATAGATGTCAAAATCTTTTTGAAAATGACACCGGAAGTGCTAAGTTCTCTGCCTTGTTCTGTGACAGACTTGAAAGAAGGGCCAGAAAAATTTCATTTCCCTCTCCACCTTACCTTAACTGTCTTCATATTCTAGTTCTACATCACTTTTCACAGAGCTGACTTGTGAAGTGCAGTTTTCGGTTTGACAAGCAGCATGTGTACCACAGGAATACCACGCTGTATGCCATACCATACAACTAACCCTTAGAAAAGAAAATATTCATTACAAAGAACAACTAACAAACACAAACAACAGCTGTTTCTCTGCAATGAAGGAAATGTGAAGTTTTATCTATTTTCATCAGCATCTGAAATAGATTATCTCTTTTCCTTGGTCTAAAATATTGGCATAGATGTGTGAGGACTGCTATGTGCTTCATCGTCCCTTGCTAGCATACATACCAGCTAGGTGCTTTTCCATGGTCTGAAGTTCTTTTGCTGCTAAGGAGTCCTTTAAGAGTTTCTGTCTTGGTGAACCGCCAGATCTGACACCCATGGCATCCATAGTCCAAACTGGCTGAGACTAACACAGATAAAAATAAAATTGAATATTTTTTAATATGCTTTCATATTTCTATGTGAAACAATAAAAGAACAAGGAGAAGGGGGAGTGACGCGCTGTACTCATTTAGAACAGTGAATCTGGTAGAGTTTTGTGTAGAATTAGTATATAATATTCATCCGGAAAAAATTAAAACCTATAATTTCTTACCTTAAATAACATAAATAGTATGCATTAATAAAAATCAACAGTTCTAGAGTAATTTATGTATATATCGACATACAAGCTCTTATTCCACACTGAGAAAACTTAATAGGACAAATTCCTCAATGATTTACATTCTAAGCAAGTTACTTAATGGGGACTGCACTTTAATTTGCCACATTTAGCACAGTATCTCTACAAAGCAGCACTTCTGGGAACATCACAGAATTTCATCATCAAAATTGCCAGTGCCATTTTATCACAAAGTATTCCTTTCAGAAACAGCAACTAAATCATCATGGCAACACAGAAGCTTGGAAGGGATGCTGGGACCACTTAACCAATCATTTCACTACTGAATGCTGTGGTACCCAGTTACCCGCATTTTCTGGAACCCATTCAATACAATTTCAAATTAAAAAAAAAAACTTTAAATTTTTTAAAAAGTTTTAAAATATTTTAAAATTTTAAAAATTTTATTTAAAAATTTGTAAAAGTTTTGAAATATAATACTATAAGGTAAACTCAGTAAGTTTTTATATGCTTACTTGAAATACACCAGAAGTATATGATAAAATGCTTAAGACTTGGTCATAAAAAACAACAAACAAATACATTAATCAAAGCACTCTTAACAGCTTGTCTGAAATAAATTTTAGTTTATTACCACACCAAAATATTTCATCTGAAATATAGGAGGTTTTGCTGCTTTCCCTGGTTTCCTGAAGAAACAAAGTTTATGCAGAAGTCCCATTGTTTTTTACCTCTTATTGATTTTCGAATATTTCAGTAAACATCAAACAAATCTAGAGAGGGGCCAGGGTTTCAAAGACAGTGAGTTGATGTAATTGCAGGGAGAATGATTGAGGAGAGGACATAAACACTGTCTTATATTTAACTGACTACTGTGAAACATGTACCTTTAAATTTGTTAACAGATTCCTATGCATAAAACAACACCCATACTGTAAAGTTCCATATTCTTACATTAAAAGAAACCCCTATTCATATTTACCAGAATATGAAATAGTTCACAGCTGCAGGCAATCCTGCTGTTAGTAACACACAGTGTTTTTAGATCACAGTTGGCACTTCGTAATTTGCAATTGCTTTTTACTGTAGTTCTGCTCTGGTATAGAGTCACACATATTTCATTCCAGGCAAATACACAGGAAGAGACAAACAAAATGTAAATTAGTCAGAAATGGAAGTTATCCTGCAAATACATTCATTTCAGACACGTCACTACACTTGATTCACCTGTTTTCCCATGAGATTTTGAGAATTTTCCACTTCATTCATATTTGAGAATTCTCCATCCAAATGATAATGTGTCTTCTTGAGGTCACTAAGGAATATTCACCCATATTAAACTACTCACATTTCTACATGCTTGTTTCTAATAGATTTTAGTTACTCCACATCCGTTTCTAGATAGAAGAGTAATTTGTTCTATGAGCAGTTTCTTTGAAACAAAAGAAACTAAATAAGAGATGGGAATGGGAATAGAGCCTGTAAAAAATCCTAATATTCTGGTTTTTAATCTGTTTTACACATACTCTTATCCCTCAGTTTTTTATGGGGGAAACTGCCATTTTTATTTAAGTTTAATGGAGTACTCTTCATTAAGGGATGAAAAATACAGCAGCCCTTCAACAATGACTAGAGCGAAAAATTCCCCAAGTCTAACAGGATGAATTCTTTTTGAATACACAGTATCATGCACAAATATAACCCTGATGAAGTACAGAATAAAAGCTAGTCAGTCATCTGTGGTAAAACTGAAGACCAAACTTTTCATCTAGTGTTCTCAGCTCTATTCAAGTCTATTGTAAACAAATTGTTATGAGTTTTCACTAATTCTCTAGCTTCCAAAAACAAACACTTGCAAATGTTAGCCTTCTGAGACTTTCTCAGCTTCCATCTCCTTTTTTGTCTGAAGATAAAATAATCCTTCTCTTCTACAAACCTCTAATGTTTCTTCTTACATTCTACCTTTTCCTCTGTGATACTTTTTTTATATGCATCAATATGCACACAACTAAGGTGAATGAGTGAATGCAACTCAGCCTACCATCTGTAATAGAAACTAAAATAAATGGAGAAAAATGATTCTTTAATGTAAGCACCATGACAGTGCTTGAGATGTTTATTAAAAAATATGAATAACATTTAAATGTAAATTGCAATTAGGAGGCTCAAAATCACAAAGATGAAACATCAGCAATACTTTTGCATGCTTCAACTCAGATTATTAACCTTGTGTAGATTCACATAAAACAGATAGGAATGGCTGTGCATAAGCACATACAGGCACACCAAGTCATGTACACACATGCACTCTGTAAATGTTTGCGTCTGCCTTCATCCTGTAAACATACAGTTACAAAGAATATAGAATTTGTGTTCAGTTCTGCGCACAACACAGATGCACACATTCTTTTGGGGAGTAAGTATTAATTTGGATATGATTTTAAAGCAATACATTCATATCTATCTTCCAGATGCACCATTTCAACACTGTGAAATTAGTGAGACAAATTTGGACAACTTTTTTTCCAACAATTTTGTAATACTTGCTTTGTATTTTTCTGTACCATGTACTATCATAAGCCTATGGCATTTTGTGAGACGACAGCACTGTAAAGAGACCAGAATAATAGTTCAATAATAGCCATGAAAGATGATATATTTAATAGTAGCCATTTAATTACAAATTATGGGCTTATAATACTCTTACAATTAAACACCTGATAGAAAGAAAACATGATCTGAAACTATTAGTATAAAAAAGTAATCTGTTTATTATGGCATTAAAACTACTGTATTACTATTATTTTTTTGCTCCTTCACTGAAACTAGATGTTCCGAGACCATAAGCAACAACACTGTCCTGAGTGCAGGAGAGATATGACCTGTAGGAGCATGCCCAGAAGAGGACCACAAAAAAGATCCAAGGGATGAAACGTCTCCCCCTACAAGGACAGGACGAAAGAACTACAGCTGTACAACCTGGAGAAGAGAAGGCTCGGAGGAGACCTTAGAATAGCCTTTCAGCATCTAAAGAGGGGCTATAAGAGAGCAGGGGACGGACTCTTTAGCAGGGTCTGTTGCGACAGGACAAGGGGACATGGTTCTGAACTAAAAGAAGGGAGATTTAGATTGGATATAAGGAAGAAGTTACTTACAATAAAGTTGGTGAGGCACTGGAACAGTTTGCCCAGAGAGGTGGTGGATGCCCTATCCTAGGAGACACTCAAGGTCAGGCTGCACAGGACTCTGAACAATCTGATGTAGCTGCAGGTGTCCCTGTTCATTGCAGGGGATTTGGACTACATGACCTTTAGTAGTCCCTTCCAACTCAAAAAATTCTATGATTTCAGTTTTTCTGAAGGCAGACTCAGGTTTTTTTTTTTTTTTTTTTTTTCCTCTGTAAATAATACTGAACATAAAATTCTCTGTTAACATGTTAGGCTATGAATTCATTTAAGTGATAACATATAAATAAAGAAAGAGTTCCTTAGTGTCTTCAACAACGTATGCAATAATCTTGATCTTAAAGGATAAATACAAGCTGAAAGCAGGGGATGTTAACAGGCAGCCTTTGGAAGCACATCAGTTCAAATGCTTTAGCAAGGAAAAATGAATTCACACATCACCAGCAGAATTCATTGGTATCCCTTCTCTCCAGTGGATAAGCAGCAGCAGTTCAGAAATGTCTCTTAGGAGAGAGATTCAGGCTTGAAAGTCATTAATTTAAACCCTTCTGTTCCATTTTTATCAAAATATAACCTCAGCCAGGTACAGCTGAGATAAAACACTAATGTCGGTTATCTCAGATGTTATTGATAATGGCAGTAGACTGAAAGTAGTTGAAAAATTTAGCATGTATGTATAAAGTGCATATATAGAAATGGTCCTTTTTAATTCCTTCAGCATATTCCAAACTGCAATTGCCCTCAATTATTCACTAAGATTTTTTAATATTAACACAAAAATTATAAATAGCCTATTCATATTAACTGGATTTTATATCTAAACAGGAAGATGTTTCCTGAAAGACACCCTTGCCTTTTTAGTTTGCAGGAATGGCTCTGGGTGCTGTTCACATCACCTTCAAACTTTGAAGGTAAGGCAAAGTCTCTGTGCTAGAAATACATTCAAACAAAGCCCTCAGGATACATTTGTCAACTTTAAAGGTCAACTATAAATCCATTTCCTAATTGGTTTTCTTTACATAGCATCATTTCTTCACTAACAATATATTCATCAGCACATTATTTACTTAGATCGCTTAGCCAAATTACTCCTAAAAAAAATAAACTTACAGAAGATAAAGCCAAAGGAAATGTCTGTCACCTCTGGTTCCCTGAATTTCTGGAAAATATCATAACTTACTGGAAAAGCCATGCTGGTACACAAACATAATTAAGGAGGTCATAAGAATAAGGAAGTTTTCCACGATCAATATAAGTACTTCAATATTTGCAGCACAATGTCATTTTTACAGCATACATCAGTATAGCTTTTATCCTTAGGAAAAAACAGTGCAGATGCGAATGTGTGCATGACGTGGGCTGCCATTTCTGTGTAATCCACCATGGACGCACAGGGAGCTCTGCAGAGATGCAGCATTTCAAATTATCTGAGGCAAAGAAGACCTCCAAATTACCTCCAACACCACTGGGAAATCAAATGATTGTTAGAAAGTAAATTAGCCCTTCTTGCTGACCATTAAAAGTTTGGAATGATGGAATGCTACTCTTCTGTTTCATTTTGGCCTACTTCAGATTTAAACATACAAGTACCCATAGGCA